TTATCTGGCCACCCTAGCCCTCCCACCAAATTGGAAACTTCAGAGGAAGCTCAGCAGTTAAAAAAAAAAAAAAAAAATCCCCCACCATCCCACTCCCACCCCTCACACACAGACACACGCCTGACTGGCAAAGAGCCATAGCTCGAGTCTGTGATGAGGAGCGCAGATCAGTCCATTGAGAAGTTTAGAAAATCCTAAATCTTCCCTCCCCCTACCTTTCCAACAGAAGCCTCTTGCTTCCAGTAAGACTTTCACACAGTCCTTATTCAATTCTTCGTGCCGACCTTATTTTTGCATTCCAACTGGGCACAAAGCTGAGTCCTGTTTTCCCATTATCCGTCAGATGAATGCTTGGATTTGTGTCCCAGCGGCCCGGTCGTGCTTGGTAATCCGAAACAGAGACCTGGAAGTCCCAGGGCAGTTTCTGACTTCCCCATTGGGGAGCCTGCTGGAAGCCTGTGAAAGAGGAAAAGACGTTGGTGACACAGCGCCACCCTGTGGCGGCTAGGAGAAGAGCCATTCTTGGCCTCTCAGTCTTCACTAACCTTAAACCTCATCAAATCCAAACGTAACAGCCATTTAAAGAGCATTTCCTATGCTATAGGCACCCTGATCATTGCTTTTTCTTGTAATAGCCTCTGCTTTTTCTATGCAGTAGATAAGATCCACACAACTAATAAGAGCATGGAGTCTGCAGAGGCTGCAGGAGTGCCCTGAGCCTGCTCTGTCCTTGTAACCTGCCAGTTGGTGGGGAATGCTCCTTATATAAGGTCGTGCTTTTGAAGCTCACACGTTCAGACAGCACGTGGGATTCTTGTTAAAATTCACATTCTGATTCAGCAGATCTGGGTTGGAATCCAAGATCCTACATTTCTAAGGGCTCCCAGGTTACACCAATCCTGTCTTGTGGACTACACTGAAAGCCAAGACCTCGAGCAGTGAGTGCTGTCAGAGAGAACTTTCTGTGATGATGGAAGCATTCTAACTCCATGTTGTGGCCACTAGCCATGTGTGGCTATTGATCACTTGAAATGTGGCTACTTGCAACCAAGAAACTAGATTTCAATTTTAGTTAATTTCAATTAATTTTAATATATGAAGGCCCCTGTGGCTAATGTCTATCATACTGGACAGAGAAGTGTCCCTCATGAGGGGTGGCTCAGGCTGACTTTGAGATGGCTTGTCATGGAAGAGCCAAAATTCCATGGCAGGTTAAAGCAGGACCATCAATTACCAGATTTTTAGAGAGATTAATATACCCCAACTTTGCCATTTTACATACGAACTGAGTCTCAGGCAAAGTGACTTGTCCCAGAGCCACAGAGCTAATACAGCATGCTTTTCACTGTTAGGGTACGGAGTCAACCACCCCTCAATTAGACAGAGAACACTCTCGATAATGCAAGTCACACAGCGAGGTTTATTTCCAGCTAGCTGGGGCCCAAGTATCCTCCCGGCGCAGCGGGTTTCAACAAGGACCGCGAGCACTCAAAGCCAAGGGTTTATATAGCATTTTCAAGGCACTTTTTCATAGCTATATACACATCTTGCGCCCCACTTTGACAGTTTAACTTTGTTTAACCTTTTGCCACCCCGGCGTCACCCTGGCGCCATCCTGGCGGTTAAGTGAGATTTAAGTTTAGAAGAAATTTAACTTTATTTACATTTCCTTCTGCCTCAGCCTCCTTCAGTTTTATGGTGGGGAGGGCGACCTTAGGCCTCGAGGTACTGAGCCATTTGTCTCTGGAAATTGGGCCATTGAAAAGATGGCCTTTTTGTTGTAAATCACCAGGACATTTGCAAACCAAGGGAGACTCCTGTCTTGAAGGATTGTGATCTCTGCAAGTTAACTATTTGTTTTTCTTTAACATTTGGTCCCTGTGGAGCCACCACCTAACCGCCCTGGTGGTATAGGATTAAGTTGTTTTTTCAGGTTTTAGTTAGTTCCTCTTATCTCAAGTCTCGTTTGCAGCGTCGGCCTGTTAGGGACACTCAGTAAAATGGCTTCCCGGCCTTCAGGATGGCCATTCTTATGCTAACCCACTCTTACAGTGAGTGCAAAGTGCCAGCTTTTGCTTTGCCAAGATGGCTGTACTTATGTCAGGGCTAGACTCGAGGTGGGTACAGCCTTGTTTTTCTTGGCCTCCACACCTGGAGCTGGTTTCTGGTACTTGTTTTTGAAGTCCCCTGGGGGAAGGGGAGCAGGGACAGTTTAAGGGTTAAACAACAAAGTTATTGTTTAACCTCAATGGAAGCCTCTGGCTAAAATAAAAATATAAAATAGGTCCTTACATCACCACTCAGACTTTCCTCTAGGCCCACTGGCCTCCAAAGGAAAAATATATGTCCCCCGATTTAGGAACTCCTCTGTGAGTACAACAGCACAGTTAATAGATTGGAATCAAATGTTACTCATTAGTTTATACAATATATGAATCGGTTAACCAAGTTTAAAAGTAATTCAACTTCCCAAGGAAATAAGCTGATTTTTAGCTATAGCATGCTGAGATGTTGAGCTATTAAGACCTGGGTCACATGAAAAGAATGATCCTGGGATGTTTTGCAAGGCAACCCAGATTAAAGGCAGCCCCCGTCTTGGCCCCCACTGGTGTAGCTGAGGTGTCTGACTTTGCACAGAACATATGTCTCACTGCAGCTGGTACAGGCCTGCCGGACACCACTCATAACAAGATGACTGAACAGGTTGTCCTTTACCATGCTGGAAGGAAAGACTTACTTGACTAATCATTTAAAAAAAAATATATATATATATATATACACATATATATATATATGTTTATTTATATATGTGTATATATATATTTTAAAGATTTTATTTATTTGACAGAGAGAGATCACAAGCAGATGGAGAGGCAGGCAGAGAGAGAGAGAGAGGAGGAAGCAGGCTCCCCACTGAGCAGAGAGCCCGATGCGGGACTCTATCCCAGGACCTTGAGATCATGACCTGAGTCGAAGGCAGCGGCCCAACCCACTGAGCCACCCAGGCACCCATTAAAAATATATTTTTTTTGTTGTAAAGCGATATATGCATATTATATAGAAATAAAATTGCACAGAAAGTATTATATTAGTTCTCTATTGCTGCATGACAGATTATTTCTAGAACCTAGCAGCTTAAATCTACAAACATTGTGTTATCTTGATCAGCAGAGTGTTGAGCCCCATGGTTCTGCCTCAGGGGCTCTTGGGAGGGGGCAGTCTGGATATCCTCTAGGGCTGCCATTGTCATCTGCAGGCCGGACTGAGGCCAAAGGATCCTGCCCAAGCTCACTCATGCTGCTGTTGGGTTAATAAGGTTACTCGTGATGTAGCTGGACCAAGGGGTGAAGAGCAACTGACTCTGTTTGGGAACAGAGAGGTTGAGCCACTTGCCACTGACAAATCCAAAGGCAGAGAGAATTTATTCCACTGGGCCCAGCTCAGCAAGGCAGCAGACTAGCGTCTCAAGGACGGTCTCCAAAATGCCAAAAACACTTCTAGGTTTATGTAAGCAAAATGCAGGACAAAGGTCAGTGGCTACTGTAGGAAGGCAGTGAAGGTCAAGTTGATCATTTTCTTGGGTGGGGTCTTGCTGGCTCAGGGTAGTCCTTATTGCCTGAAGGATAGTTTCAGTTTCCATCAGGGAATGCTTTCCCCATGGGGTCTTTGGCCCAAGTTGAGATAAACTGGCAAGAAGAACTTAATTACAAAGTTTGAGGTCAAAATGGAGGTAGTTGAAGTCCTCCTTCAATGACAGTTTTCCCCAAGAGTAAATGATGAGAAAGCAAGACAGAGAGCCCAGGATGGAAACTAGCATTTTATAACCTCCACACTAAGAGCCATATTATCACTTCTGCCAGGCCTCCACCTTACCTGTAAAATTTTATGGCCCTGCTGAAGATCTGGATTCCCTATCCTGCCATGGAAACATTAGACAACTTGAAATTTTCAAAGCAAGATGGCAGACTGAGTTCCAGAAAGGCTGAGATGAGCAACATAAAGAAGACAGAATTCTTGGAAAAGTAGACATCAAAAGTTTTTCTCTTGTTGTATGCTGGGGATAAAGTCAGGGCCTACTTATTCATTAGGCACATAAGTACGGTGCCTAATAGGTATGTGCCCAGGACTCATGACATGCTTAGGGGCCCATGAAAATACTTTCTTTTCTAAATTAGGAGAAAAAATGGAAATTTCAAGTTGGACAAAATGTTTTGAAAGGGTCCGTAGACAAAAGGACAAGACTGATACAAAGCGAAGGTCAAGCAAAGCTTTATTTCGCGCCAAGCATCGAGAATCAAACTGACCGGCCAGGGCCTCTTGCAATGAGGTGACCCCTCCCAGCCTCACAGACTAACTTTTATAGAGTAAAGGCCATGTGGTTGAGCCTGGCCACACACAGGTGGCCAACTGAATTACATTCTACCCCATGATAGTCATCTAATTCAGCCTGTGACTTTGGCTAGAATTGGCGCCTTTGTCTGGTGCCCAAAAGGCGGGGGCTCACACTTCCTGGCGGGTAATACGTGCGCTTTTACTTGATTGGACGTCTCCACCTGGCCAAACTCGTCCTTGTTGGGTAGGGAGGTAATACATGCGCTTTCACTGATTGGACGTCTCCATCTGGCCGGACACATCCTTGTATCTGGGCTCCATTATTTTTGCCCAGCCTGACATGTCCTGGTATCTGTGCTCCGTTATTGGGGCTATTTGGCCGTATTTCACCAGTTCTGTTTCTAAGTGCTTTCCTCTTGGGGGGAAGGGGCAGGTTCAATCTAAGTTTACTGCATAAACAACAAAATGGCTCGCTCTGGCTAAGTAGGCCCTTACAGTTTTAGCATATAATATTAAGATAGTCACCTTTAGGGTGCCTGGGTGGCTCAGTGGGTTGAGGGTCCGACTCTTGATTTCAGCTCAGATCGTGATCTCAGGGTCATGGGATCGAGCCCCACATCGGGCTCCGTGCTCAGTGAAGAGTCTGCTTGTCTCTCTCCCTCTGCTCCTCCCCATTGCTCATGCTCTCATTCTCTTTCCTAAATAAATAAATAGATAAGTAAAATCTTTTAAAGATATAGATATATAATGGTCATCTTTATACCAACTCAGTAATAAAATAAAATTTTTAGCATGTTTTTGTGGATGAAGGGGATCACAAAGACGAAAGTGCTTGGGACCCACAAATAATCATACACTACAGCCCGGGAGAAAGGATTTCATAACTGACATCAATCCAGGGGACTACACACTTCTTGGAGATGAGTATGGACATGGCATTGCCACCACTTATAAATGTCCTTTTCCTTAATGAGTGTGTTCAAATTTCCCTAGTTACAATGAACTGGCTCTGTCTTTGCCTCTTAAAGCTCCTATCAGGACCCCAGAAAGCCATAACTGCTAGAGGGAAGGGAGCTGGACCAAAGCAATGCATATGGACACAGAGGATTCCTCCAGCATCCTCTCCGTGCTTGTATTTTTCCCCTCGGCCTCTGATTCAGAGAAGTCCAGCAGATTCCAGGGAAGCCTGTCCCTTACCTAATCCAGGCTGCCCTATGCCCATCTGTCCTGGCCACAGTGATGATCACCCCGACCATCACCAACCCAACCCAGCTGGAGTCAGTCTTAGAACTTTTGCCAGAAACTATGGGGTACAAACATTCTTCCCTGGAAGGCATAGTGTACAAAAGTGACTCTGAATTCCTACATAATTTGCCACCATGATCAAAGCCAAAGGAAATCTCAGAAAAACAGCCACAGCCTTGATCAACCACACCTGAGCCCTACGACTAGATTTTTTGTTGTTGTTAATTACATAAGCCTATAAATTCCCTTTTACTGTCAAAGCCAGTTTGGATAGGGTTTTCTGCTACTTTCAACCAACCTTACTGAAACTAAATGTAGCATTATTATTCCCACTTTATAAATTAGGAACAGAGGGTAAGTCGCTTGCCATAAATCACAGTCCAGATTAATCTTAACATGTGTTTTGCATTGATATCAAATGTTCTGTTTTCACAGATTTCACAAATTTTATCTGGCTCTCCAAGCATGTGTTACCTTGTAAACACTGTAAGTATGAACAGACGTAAGCAGAAAGGAATCACTGTATATAAGACTTTCTTCTTACTCTTTTGTCCTACTATACGACTCCTTTAAAGAGCTACCCCATTCTGGGAAAGCACCCCCCAATCACCCACATACCTGAAGAATTGGAAGTTCAGGAATTGGGAGGTTAGATCAGAATTTGAAAGGGGTACCCTCTCTGTGTCCCATCTGGTCTTCTCAGCCCTCCACCCACCCACTCTTGGCTGCCAACTTCATTGCCTTTTTACCATTGACACCACTGATACCCTCATCTCATTCCTTTCCATCTATCTCAGCCTGCTTTTGAATCTGTTTGTTGGCTCAGCATATCCGGACAATTGTACCTCTTGTAGTCTGGCCTGGTCCCCTTGACCTCCCCTTCCCATGCATGGTCTAGGTACAAGATCTTTATCTTTGACAATTAAAAGGTGCAAGAGGACTTTTTGCTTAGCTTAGCAAGGTTATCTCCCACTAAGATCCCTTGATATGCTGAGTTCTGAAGGAGGGATACATTTGCAGAACCATTTCAGAAATTTAAAAGAGAAAAGGAATTAAGTCCCCTTAAGCCTACCTTCTGAGATTTAAACATGCAAAAAATTGCCGGGATGTCATTGACCCAGTCTGATACCAGGAAAGGACACGCAGGGCCACAAAGGGGAAGTTTTCAGGAGGTTATGGGGAATCTGGGATGGTGACCTCCATACAAGTTGCATATAGGCAATCCAGAAGCAGCCATCTTGGCATAGTGTCAGGGTTTGCGAATACATATGCATATTAATTAAAAGCATTGCTACCTTCAGTCATGGCATGTGGCACTATTGTGGGCTAGCAAGGACCTGTACCCGCAAGGGCATCACCAAAGTATGGGCAGTGTGTGCTGGCCCTGTGCAAAACCAGTATTTCAACAGCGACACCTTGTGGCAGCAGCTGAAACAACAGTGCTGATAACACACTACTGGCCTCTTTGCAGAGAATGTAGGATTCTTATAAAGTTTAAGGGTACTTCTCAAGAGGCAGATGATTTCCTGCTAATAAAGGTAGAGGAACACTACTAATGGTAAAAATAAACCTTTTGGTGATGATGTGGAGAGAATGGAGCCCTTGTGCTCTGTTGGTGAGGATGTGAATTGGTGAATTTCCACTGTGGAAAACAGTATGCAGGTTCCTCAAAAAATTAAAAATAGAGTTACCAAATGAACCAGTAATTCTAGTACTGGGTATTTATCCAGATAAAACAAAAACACTAATTCAGAAAAGATCTATGTACCCCTGCGTTTACTGCAGCATTACTTAAAATAGCCAAGTATAGAAGCAACACAAGTGTTGGAGATACATACACATACAAGTGAGTATTACAGACACATATATATGAATACTCCTCCAGCGTAAAAAGAAATGTGATTGGGGCGCCTGGGTGGCTCAGTCATTAAGCGTCCGCCTTCGGCTCAGGTTGTGATCCTGGGGTCCTGGGATTGAGCCCCATGTCAGGCTCCCCGCTCAGTGGGAAGTTCTCTCTCTCCCACTCCTCCTGCTTGTGTTCCCTCTGTCTTTCTGTCAAATATGTAAATAAATAAATCTATCTTAAAAAAAAAAAAAAAGAAAGAGATCTTGTGATTTGCAACAACATGGATGCACCTCGACGGTATAATGCTAACTGAAATGTCTGACAGAGAAAGACAAATACCATACAATGTGGAATTTTAGGAACAAAACACATGAAGAAAAAAGAAGACCAAAAAAAAAAAAGACTCTTTTAAACATTTTATTTATTTCAATATCTCCACACCCAACGTGGGTGGGGCTCCAACGCATGGCCAAGAGCTCAAGAGTCCCATGTTCTTCCAACTGAACCAGCCAGGCACTCCAGGAAAAGACTTTTATTTATTTATTTTTTAAAAAGATTTTACTTATTTATTTGACAGACAGAGATCCCAAGTAGGCAGAGAGGGAGAGGAGGAAGCAGGCTCCCTGCTGAGCAGAGAGCCCGATGTGGGGCTCGATCCCAGGACCCTGGGATCATGATCCGAGCTGAAGGCAGAGGCTTTAACTCACTGAGCCACCCAGGCACCCCTGGGAAAAGACTTTTAGATACAGAGAACAAGTTGGTGGTAGCTAGAGGGGAGGCAGGGGGTGGGGGGGGGGAAGGAAAGACACCTGAGGGAGTTATCTGTCCTACTTGTATAGAGGGCCACCCCTGGGTCTGTCCCCAGAACAGGATACAGAACTTGGAGAGAAGGCATACCAGGTAGCTGTTTCTGCTGGGCTGCCTGCCATATTCTCTGTTGTCTCCCAGAACTTCTCCAGCTCCACTTACAGCCTGGCTCCTGGGCCCTGTCATCCCAGCAGTGTCAGTGTGGGGAACAAAGGACAGCTCCAGAAGAAAAAAAATCAGCTCCAGAAGCTGTCACTAGGTCTCCAATGGATGGAGTCATTTTCAAGGTCATGAAACTGCAGTTAAGGCAACCTCCTAGCTCCCCTCCAAATGGGGCTTGGTTTTTTCTGGGGCTTCTTGTCACTTTCCTAGCAGGAAAGTCCACTTCTCTGTAATCAGATTGCAGAGGTCACCGGGGCTCTTCTGAAACGGGAAGCCAGTTCTTTTCAGCCTTCATTCTATTTGTTGCCCATTTTAGCAGATTAAGCACTTAGGGTTGGGATTTTTAAAATATTTATTCTTTGGGCCAAAGGAGTATCTTAATAAAGGTAAGTTCTTTGTATAAGACTTCTTCAAACCCTAATTAATTCCTGAAGAAGCAGCACGCGTCTCTTAATTACTGGCAGGCCTTCTTTGTACATGAGACTAGCAGCGAGAGAGCCAACACCAGCACAAGGGCCCCAAGCCAGCGACCTTGGACTGAACCAGTCCACAGATGTGTTTTGCTGGGGGTCTTTCACACGAAAATCTAGATTTCTTACTCCTTCGGAACAAATGCGCTGTATGGCAATGGTGGGTGTGGATTCTCAGAGCAGCTGCTGGCTTCCGAGGGTCACGGTGAGTGTCCTGTTCTGCCACAGTCGCCCGCGTCCCTGTTGTTACATCCGGGCCCACTGCCCCCATTCGTATTCCCCGCTTGGCCCCGATCTGAATTAGTGCTTCCCTTCTCCAGAAGCTTCTCTCACACCCCCCGGCAGACAGCCAAGATTCTGAGAGACAAGAGGCACATCCATTTCATTTCCCTCCCGGTGCCGGCATGGAGCGTGGGTTCCCAATAAACACTGACCGCAAGAATAACGGAAGAACGAGTCGTACCTAGCGTGTGACAGGCGTCGTGAAGGACACTAAGGAGCTGCAACATAGTGGTAAGACAGGGAGCGAGGGAGAGAGATTGCAGAGGGCGCGCACGCGTGCACGTATGCGTGAGCGTGCGCGAGAGCGTGTGCGTGCACTCGCGCGTCCGTGTGCGCATGTGTGCCTTGCCTTTTAAGGCAAGGCTGCCCAGCATGAGTAAACCGTCGGAGGATGAAAACCCCAGCGGGGCTACAGACTGGCTGCTCTCAGGAAATGGCCCCTTTCAGGCACAACCACAGTCTCCTGTCTGTGGCATGTCCAGTCCTATATAATAACCCAAACTTTGGCTTACATTTTCTTCCATCTCCCTGGCTGCCGGAGACGGGTGGTGGGAGGAGGGGGAAGCTTTTCGCTCTTCCCACCCACTCTTCCCACGGTCCGGCTGATGAGGTCCCTGGCTGCCAGGAGAAAGAGCAAAATCCGAGGTGGTGCCCTCATCGGCAAACATCGGGTTCCTCTGGGTGGCAGGTTCCTAAAGGTGACTCTCGGGCTCACCTGTGTTACTCAGCGATCCCCCCAAACTGGGGGCTTCCCTATAGTTCCCAGGACTCTGTCACAGTTGTAGGCCTGGAATCTGGTTCACCTCCCTCGCAGCCCCCTACTACCCTAGCCACATTGGGTAGGATTTCAGATGTTGCCACATTGGCTGCCCTGGAGACTTTACCT